GTATATTAAAGTGGACGCCAATCAGATCCCCGGCCTGGAGTTTTTCGTCGATAAGTCCCGTCTGGATGTTCCAGAGAAGTTCCAGCAAGCCGTACATATCGATCGGCACCATCAACGGGCAAATATATAAAGAAGAATGCCTCCAGAAGCGCCTGCTGTCCTTCCTCCGGTTCCACGAAGGTGACACTCTGTTTTCGTCGGATCTGACATCGTGCAATTACGCGAAACCGGTGATGGAGTGGTCCGAAGCCAACGATGTTGTTTTTGTGTCGAAGGAGCAAATCCGCCAAACTAGCCAGAACTTCGCCCAACAGATAAATTCTGGGCGATTATGAAGGGCAAGCTCCGGAAAACAGGGAAGGTCTTCAAAAACGACAAGGATTTGAAGAAAGAGTGGATGAAAGTGTGTAAGAAAGATGGCGCAAGTGTTGCACGGGATTTGATGGGTAGCGTTAAGTCCAAGGTGCGGACAATTAGTCTAGGAGAGGAGGTTGAATAAATCAACTTTGTAAAAACATAGCTAATATGTGTTTATTTATTCCCTGAGAGTTTCAAAAATATCCGATAATTTTTGGTGATTATTTTTGTCTGTTGAATTTTTTTTTGAGTGCAGTCTTTAGAAGCTAGATAAGGTGTGTGAGGTTCAAAGAGAAACTGTCTATGTTACTTAAAGTATAATGCATTGTTCAGGTTGAATTAAACAAGTTTGAATGGCACATAATTTTCCAAAATAACCTATTCCACATTTATTAATAAAGGTTGCAAATTCTCATTTCGCATAAGATCATGTTTTTCGGAATAATTAAACCAAAGGACGTTATGATCACATGTTTGACTAATAAATTACAAGAAGAGGTTGCAAAGTATGTATTTGGCACATAAAAACTGTCAATTTTGTTTTCTGATAGTCACAATCAGCGATTTGATGGTCGCTGAGTGAGTGAATGAAAATTGATAAAATCGCTGATTGCGACTCCCTGGAAGCAAAACTGGTTTTATGTGTCAAACCAGAGGCGCGAGTAGTCGGTGGGAGAGGTAGGACATGTCCTACGCACAAAAATTCATGGGTGGAACAGTCAAAGCATTGTCCTACCCACGATTTTAAAGAGAACATAGATAAAAACCTGAAATAATAATCGTCGCAACAGTTCCAGATGTAGCCAGTGTGGTCCTGGCCACATCAAATGGCTAGCATTTTAATGGTTTTTGAATTCTCATGTCATTTGATTATTACTTTAGATTGATAGGTTTTATTCGTTTCAGGTCGGATTTAGTCTCATGGCTCATACAAACCGGAACATGTACCGACCATTTCTCCGGAACAAGTTAACCGGTTCCAAAAACATACAAAATCGATCTATGGGACCATAGTACCTTGGCCCACCCACATCATTTATAATCATTATTTATAATCTTACTAATAAAAAACATGATGATAACATCTCATAATCTGAAATCTGGCATTTTCTGTTGTGCACTGATGTCGGGGCCTCCGGGGTCGTCACGATCTAGCTTCTTTTATGCTTCCTGATGATTGTTATTGTCCGACGATGCACCACACCTGCGTACATACTTCTACCACTCTTTTGTTTATCCTATCGATGCTTCTCTGGTTGCTCTCCTTCCGCTTGGGCAGACAATCATCCGGTGTCCCTCCGTCTTGCAAAGGCAGCAGTTATCCTTATCCGTCATCGAATATATTTCCCTTTCGATTGAGGAAATATAGCGAGGTAGGAATTTCCAATTTCGCATCCATGTATGTTCGGGGGCCCGCTTGAGTACAAATTTCTCCCGGATGACATGCTTCACTTTCCCATATTTCCCCAGCACTAACGCTAGCTTATGGTCAGAAACCTTCGGTAATAAGACATACACACGCACATATTGAACGCATAATAGAAAGTTAAATCTTTCGAGCTAAAAGTCAAGGCATGAAGCATCGATTCTTTGGATTTAAACTTAATTAAAAGTCTCTGCTCCTCCGCAATCCTGTAAGCAGCTTTTACTTGAACAGGATCCGCGTCCAGTGATTTCACGAAATTGCCTATTTCGCCCATGTAGGGCGTCACTTCCATTTCTGAAGCTGAACTTGATGGCTTCTTTATTTCACACATATCGCTACTAATTGCAATGACAATTAAAGCGACCGAGATGCAGGCGTGACTATACAATAGCGTTTATCGAATAACGGACTATCGCGTTGTTCACTCCGAAAAATAGACTACTGCTGCTGTCGATAACTAAAAGCGCATTGATCCAACAATTTTGTTTCAAACGTCAATTTGATTGGAAGAGCCGCTATGATTTATTGAAAAATATCAAATACGCCATTTTGGCAAATTTGGCGTTAGTCAAAATGGCCAAATTCTAGCATAAATTTTAGTGTAGTCAAGCTTCTGCATTCATTCTCCATCAGATGTCACTACTGTTCTTTGTTGCTACATCTATCGGAAAATACTTAACTGTATTCCGTGATTTGTTAACAGAGGACAGTGCAGTCAATTGCAGCAGAATTGGGTAAAGAGGCGACACCTTATCCATTTGACAGGTCTTCTGCTCGATTGGAATAACTTTTACTATGACTTTGACAGATAATCGATTATTCCAATTTTGACATGTCGTCTCTTTATAAATTCAGGCTCTTCACAGTCAACAAACCTTTAAGTCCTTGAAGTAATGAAATTGGGTTGAGCGGAATGCTTTAAAATAAACAGCAAAAAAGGGTTATCTTTCATTTAATTCCACTTAAATAATTTTGGTATCCATGACAGATACGAATTTCAACTACAATGTGCAGTCTTCATCAGTGTCATTCCCACTCGATAAATCTTTAGTGGGAATGACACTGATGAAGACTGCACATTGTAGTCGAAATACGTATCTGTCATGGATACCAAACCTATTTAAGTGGAATTAAATGGAAGATAACCCTTTTTGCTGTTAGATTCACAAACAATGCTTTCTTAGCCCCTCTCCTATCAGGGTTATCCGCATTTTTCTGATTGGGCGGGGCTTTGCAAGCATTTTTTGGGTTGAGAATGCATAAAAGGAAGGACTTTTAAGCATTATCGACCCAAAAAATGCTTGCAAAGCCCCGCCCAATCAGAAAAATGCGGATAATCCTGATAGGAGAGGGGCTAAGAAAGCATTTTTTTGTGAATCTCAAGGCATTAATAAGGGTACCGGAAATTTTGTTCTATCCTAATTCTATTCTGAAGCCTGTGAAACGGAAATAGGCTATCTTGATGACGTTTTTCTTGACGATAATTATTATAATCCCCTTGTAACATGTTATAATTTAGTAGCCTGAACAATTGTTCCTCTCGTGTGTTTATAATTGAACACTTACCAAGGTTGGCACCGCCGACTCGCTCGCCATTTTATTTTGCTGGATCTCAGTGAAAACATGTCGAGATTCAGCTTACACACGAGAATTTTTGGAGATGAACTAGCTTTTGCCTAAAATCTCGAACAGACAGAAATTTTGCTGAGATCCCAGTAAAATAAATACCCAGCTAATCGGCGGTGTTGAGTGTAAATGAGTTAGATTAGACTCTGATTATTTCTAGTCGGCACATGTGAACAGGAATATTTTTCAAACAACTCAGGCGTACCTCAAGGCAGCAATTTGGGACCACTGCTATTCTCGGTATTTCTTAACAAAAACGAATCGAAACTGCCAACTGGCGCCGAAATGAACTAGCTAAAAATCTCGTTCTTAAAAAAAAAACTTCCGACAGGCTGCCGATAATACAGACGATGTCAAGATGTACGTGGTTGTGCGAGGCTTCGCTGGTTGCTTGCGGTTGCAGCATCTGATCAATAGTTTCGAATAGTGGTGCTCTAGAAATTTTCTCAAAAATGCAATATCATCACTTTCCATCGCAAACTAAAACCTATTGCATTCAATTAGGTATACGATCGATAACCAGCCTCTCTGCAGCGTGTACAACGTTCGTGACATAGCTTATAATTGATTCTGCTTTGACATTTCAGCTACATTACACGGACCAAAGCTAACAGGCAACTCGGATTCATATTTTAAGATCTCTGCTGATGAATTTCGGGATCCTACCTGCCTGACAGCTCTATACAGTTCGCTAGCGGGATTGATCTTGGAATTTGGTGTAGTAGAAGCAGTATGGTGTCCGTATGAAAAAGTTTGTATTGCCAGGATCAATTCTGTTCTGCTCCAACGAACATTCCTCCCTACAAAGATCAGTTGATAACTTCTGGCTCTCTTGAACGTAGGTGGATGATAACCAGGCAGTTTTTACAGAAAACGTGCTGATAAGCGAAATCAACTTTCCCGGGATTTTGGCTGAATTACGGATTACATGATCCAATACGGTTTCAATGAATTCTATGCATTTTTCGGCTTCAACTGCACAGCGGAAACTGTGAGTAGCTGTCCATTTAATGTATACAACAGGTCAACAGATGAATTTTGCTACCAATTTCCTTTTCTTGTTCCCGATCAACTCTGCGATGACGGCCTTGACTTGACAAAGCAACTCCATGTCATAGGACGAGATTAATTTTAATGCTGAAGACCGTATATTATTATTATAATTCGGTGTTTCTTTTTATAATTGTTCCTTCTAATTCGAAAACATATAGGGTTTTAACGCCTATTTGCGCAAATATTTGCCTAACAGGCTTTTCCCCATCAATCTTCATTAAGACAACAAAAGTCCGATGAAGAGAATAATAAATAAATAAATATCACAAGCAAGGAAATTGGGATACGCCACTATCACCTACTCTACCTTACGGACAAACACAGATGTTCATGAAACAGGTCTACTTTACCGACTTTATGAAGGGGAAACTCCAATAAGAAAAAATATATAGGGAGGGGAAATCGACGAAGTCCGTGTCTAAAAATAGCGCATGCTTCATCGAAGCCCCTTCGAAACTGTGTTTCCAATGTTTCCCCTTTTCGTGCTAGGGAGGGATGTTCACCCAAATAATGAATACAAAACAGAGACGTAACCTACCTGCTCTTGGAAGGTCGGCATCAACGGAGACAAACTTTCCGCCAGGTGGAACCGCTTGATCTTGCTAGCGTACTTCATGACGATCGGAATAAGCTGACTGGAGGCAATGGTTTCCACGAGTTCCCTCGCCCGTTGCTCCATCTCTGAACGACAGGCCAACTGAAATCGTTAGAATTATCAATGGAATGATGTGTTTCCAAGGAATAGTAAGAAAATTACCGCAAACAACTTCACGGCTGTTTCCTTGAGCAGCTTGTCCGCATCGTCACTCTTGAAGTAGATACTCCGCATCAGTTCGTCCTCCAGGGCACCCTTCTCTACGTCCACCTCACACATCGGAATCTGGAAGTTGGCATTCATCGGAATGGGTCGCGGATTCGTCAGGGGGAACTTGGCCCCACGGCAAACGATCAGCTGCGCCTGCTGAATCGATTCGGACACCTTGACAATGAATAGACTGTCTGAGGCTCCGGCTTTGTACTGCTCGTCGTCAATTATGGGGAACCATAGGTTGGAACCGGCATGGTACAGACGCATAATTCCGGCAGAGTCGTATGTGACGGGCGAGCCTTTATCAGAATAACCGATCCAACGGAGTACCGATTCTGCTGACAGTGGGATAGGAATTTCCCGACACCGAAGTCGGTAGTTGACGCAAGTGACTACCATCATATTCAGATGTTGGTCCTCGTTGGATGGGGAATGGTGATAAGCGACGAGGATGTGGTCACCATAGGCTGCCATCGAGACGGGAGGACCTGGGATGGAAAGGACCTCACGCTGGGTACCCCTGGAGGTGAACACACGAAGCAAACGGGCATCAGTAGCAACAACAACGATTTTATCCGAAGCCGCCACTCCTATTATCTCCTCCGTTCCGGGCATGGTACAGCTCCACTCACGATTACCGAAAGCAACCAGATTGATGCAGACCAATTTGCTACCCTTGCTTTCCACTCCGGAGGTGCAAGCCATGGCCAATACGGACTCACTCAAACCGGCCATCGTATGATTCAAGTAGTTGTTCATATGGATTCCGTGATGCTTCGAGGAATCGTGAAATTCTACCTCTATCGCGTTGTCCTTTCCATCCGAATGGCTACGGACGATTCCCACGTGGTTGTACACCAAATAGCGATGTTCCAAATGATCGGGTGTTGATCCGGGTTGGAAGTATTCTTGCATGGGGTACGATTTGGCAGCGAACTTTTCGCTCATCTCCGTCCGGGCATCGTCGTCATCGTCGTTCCCGCGATGAGAACCGCTACCAATCGGTTTATCACTTAGCAAATTGTCCCCTGCCGTTTGACCATCTTCATTAACCGCATACTGACTCTTAAGTTTGCTCACGGAGAAACAGTTTTCGTCATCCGAATCGTCCGACAGTAATTTCTCGCCAGCAACATCTAAAATATAAAAAAAAAATCAATTCAAGATCTACAGTCGCAGATTGTGATTAACTTTCTACTCACGTTTTGAATAGAGATCGTTAATATCCATATCACCATCATCATCATCTGCAATCCCATTCGCTTCCTTTTCGGCCATCTCTATCAGATCGTTACCATCGTCTCCCGCGTTTTCAGCATGGTCCTCGAAAATTCCATTCACATTACCAAGCTGCCCTTGGTTGTCGCAAATGACCAACTCCCCGGTATTATTCGGATGCCATGCTAATCCCGTTACCGGATAGGGATCTATTGAAGCCACTTCACCAGCCATTGTCTCTCCGGACTTGTAATCCCACACAGCCACTTCTCCTTTTTCCGATCCAGCGGCGAAATATTCTCCCCGCGGTGAGAAGGCACACTGTGTATAATCGGATGATACCATCTTATGCTTCAGTATTTTGTGCTGTTCCCATGTAGTCGTGTTGAACACAATAATTTCACGATCCTTCGGGAATGCTAATGCGTTTCCACGAACCGGTTCGAAACTTGGAGTAGCTGCAACAAAATTAATGCAGTTATTACGAATATTCCACTCCATTCCAATCCAACTACTTACCAAGGTGCACGTTTCCTTCGAAACTCTTTACCTTCCGCAGTCCGTTGACCGTCTTCAGCAACTTCTTGCTATTCAAATCCCAAACTCTAAGCTGTCCATCCCCGCAACTGGCCGCTAGCATATCTTTGACACTCAAATCCATACTCAGTACAGGACCTTCCAATCCTCCTAGCTCAAATTCCACTTCCCCATCACTCACTGGTTTAACCTTGATCGTCCCATCCTCGGAACCAGCAACCACAAACTTCCCGTTCTGTGCTAAACTGGTCACAAAAGCCGTAAACCGAAACTCGATCCCATCCTTTTCTAGCTCGGGAAACTTGTACGCCTGCACCGTGTTCAGATCGTTGGCAATCAGCACCCGGTCACCGTACTGCAGCAAAGCCCACACGTTCTCCGCCACGCAGGTGGTAATCGGATCGTCATCAAACACTCCGTCCCAGATTCGGATATCACCGTCGTGACCGATGCTGAGGATTCGTCTAAATAGGAACATAATTTTAGTAACACACACTTACCGTCACAACCCAAAAGCCCGTCGAACTTACTCTCCGTCGTCCTGATAGGCCACGCTCGTGTAGCCAACGATGTGGCCATAACGCATGGCGGACCGCTTGAAGGGCATGTTGATCAAGTCTCAGGAAAGCAATTTGTTTCGTAAAAACGCACTTTACACGGATAATAAATAAATTTGATGGGGCAACAAATTATTCATCAGGAACCGACTACAAACAGGCGAAGAACTTCGGTTACGCGCCAAATGTGCACGACATGTGAAATATTTCCTGAGCAGTATCATAATAATCATGCAACACGTTAGTTGTTGTCACTGATACATTTCACAGCGCCGTACACGAAAAACTGATTTTAGCAATTAGAATAAAATATTTGGGCACACGTTGAGTAAACTTTCGTCGCTTTTACCTGAAATTATCGGTCTTTTGGTGCACATTCAAATTTTAAGTAACGCGCAAGGGGGTTGGGGGTGTTCACCCATTTTTATTGCTGTAAATCAGTAAAATATTGCTGGATTTTTTCGAACTGAAAATTGAGCAGTTCAGTGCCAACATTTCAAAGGGGCGTAATTGCTTTTGTAAACAATGACTTAAGCCGTCAATTTCTCGCGGATGAAATCTTAACTCTCCAAAATTACAATGCTAGCTGGTACACAGCAAAAAAAAAAGTAATATCGATCAATGTAATTCAAGCTGATGTATCAAATAATAATGTAATAGCAAAAGGCAGATACAATATTACATCAATGGATGTAAATTTGTTCGCAAAATCGATATACATCGTACAACATTATATTACACAACCGATGGATTGACCTGGTTGCAGCAGTTTGGATGTAATATTCAACAACTTTTTTTTCTGTGTAGAGGAAACATTCCTCTACCTGCTGGTGTCATTATTTTCCATGAGTGAGCTTTTATTCGCGAGAAATCGACGGCTAAAGCCATTGTTTACAAATGCAATTACGCCCCTTTGAAATGTTCGCACTGAGTTATTTTTGAAACACCAGCAAAATAGCGTGACATAGAGATAACCTCGGAAATGACAGCTCTTTACTGTTAATCCCAAGGTTAATCCAGCAATATTTTATCGATTTTTTTAGCGAAAAAAAATTTTGCTAGGGCCATTTGTTTGAAGATTCGTGTATTTATAGTGATTTTTTTTTTCATTTAGACTCGAGTGATTTTAATTTCATTGTTCTCAAGTTTCGTTTTCAATTTAATAATTATAAAATTGCGAAGACATCATATTAAGAAAATTGGCAACTTGAGTGAAGGTTGAAGCAACGCATAGAAAAATGAGCAAATACACAAATTATTCTTCTGAGGATGTAATATTTAATATCAAAATCGTTCGAAGCATTTACCTTTGAGCAGCAGATGACGTGATTGTACCTGTCTCATACTAAAAGAACCACTTTTCTGTCAAACGTGAACCAGCTCCTGATTGGCCGATTTCATGTGCGTAAGATAGAGATAGAGATGGATAAAGATAGAGATAGAAATAGTAATAAAAGAGGAAGAAGCCAATTGTCACCTCTTCCTCTTAGGTCTCATAGCGTATGAGAAAATGGAAGAGTTGCTTTGTTGTTGTATGAGATTTGTTGTCTTCGATTAAATGCATGATTCTTCTAATTTTATCCGCGAGACATCAAATCAAGAAGACTGGCAACTATGCCAGAATCCAAGTGACAGATACAAAAGCGCCAACAGTCAATACGAAACTAACGATTTTAAATTGGCTCACAACTTGACTAGCCTATAGGTCCCAAGCAAACGATTAACGTTCCCCATTCTAGTCGAAATTCTAGTACTACACAATGTTTGTTTTGATCGAGGGGGCGACACATCTAAATCTCAATTCTACATGCTCAAAAGATCTCACACTAGCGAATCAATCTTTGAAAAATCATCTTTCATTTCTCGCATCTACTTGCATCGCGCTTCATCTTTTTGCAGGAAATCTTCAAAATCGACATAAATCTTCCTTCTAACAGTAAAACACAATCTTTTCTGCATCGTAGATAGAGTCATCCCCCTCGGTTTTGATTTGCTATGAAAGTTTGACAGATAAAATGGGGGGGTAGTGGATTTTCCTATGTTTCGAGGGGTGCATCGATTAGCTTGGGACCGAAGATAGTACCAGAGCTGAGCCAAAAAGTTGAGCACGTTTCTTCGGGACCTTCTGGTCTTAGGGTTACCTCTATGGTAGCGTTTCGCTCGAGCGAAGGTAGAAGTAACGCATAGATAAATGAGCAAATACACAAACCTTTCTTTTGAGGTTATAATATTTGCTATCAAATTCGATCAAAGCATTTACCTTCCAACGGCAGATGACGTCGTAGCGGTCGTATGAGAAAATGGAAGAGTTGCCAGTCTTCTTCATATGTAGTCTTAGGTAAAGGTATCTAATTTGAGTTGCTTTGAATATTGATATATGTATATATTGTATGTATGATACTTCATCTTACGGGACAATATTTGATTGACTTGAAACTATTTTTATTGTTTTTATATTTGCGAAATACCATCTTATAGTTGATCAAACCTAATATAAAATATGATCATCCTGCCTAACATCATGCCTGTTGTGGGTAACACAAAATTATCGTTATGTTTTACCTCCCTCCTCTAATATTCCTCCTTCTTGAAGATTCCCTTCGCAAACATCCGCTGCCACTCGGAACCACGTGGATATTCAAACATTGAAATCGCCTCCGGTTTCAACTCTGTTGAATACCCTGGCACATTGGGAGCTATATAGCAGGCATTTTCATTGATAATGGCCGGATTAACAAACTGTTCATGCTGTTGATCAACGAACTCAATCATCCGGTCGTCTTTAGTACATGAAACGGACGTGTAGTCCCACATTTGCAAATGCTGTACCATCTCACACAGTCCTACACCACCAGCGTGGGGGCATACTTTCACTGGAAAATTATATATATTTCAAATTATAAGTCTATCAGCAGCAAATCGTCAATTACTTACCATTAAATTTCTTCGCCATTAAATAAACCGATAGAATTTCGTTCACACCTCCGATTCTAGCAGAATCTATCTGGCAAAATTCCAACGCATTTGCCTGTAGAAATTGTTTGAACAGTACACGATTGCAGCACATTTCTCCAGTTGCAACTCCAATATTGTATTCCCTGTGAATATGGAAAATAATTAATAAATTGACATGAAAACTAACTTAAGTTATACAATAATTCAAATTATATCCCGTTCAAATATCTCACCTCATGGCATCAGCAATTTTCTTATGACCCAAGACATCGTCGGGGGATGTAGGTTCTTCGATCCACAGCAGCTTAAAATCCTTCAAATTTTTCATCCAATCGATAGCGGTACTCACATCCCAAATTTGGTTGGCATCGACCATCTAATGTGTGAAAGTGACCGATATTGATAGAATTAATCGAAGTAGAAATTAACTCCCACGTACCAGCTTGTTATCCCAGCCAATTTCTTCCCTGACCAGCTTGCATCGTTTGATATCGTTCTCCACATTTTGGCCAACCTTAATTTTGAATGCGGTGAATCCAGCCTGAATGTATTTCTGACATAGCGAACGGATTTGCTCATCACTGTAACCAAGCCAACCTGTGGATTTAGTTAAATGTTATTAGATGGTTAATTAAACCTGTAATACCTGTATTGCTTTAACGAACACATACCAACTTGTGTCATATAAGCTGGATAGCCACTACGAAGGAGATCATCAATCCTTGCTTTACGCATTGGTTTACTTTCACTTAGAATGTGAATCGCTTCTTTCGGTGAGATTGCATCCGTAATGTATCGAAAGTCGATAGTAGATACAAGTTCCTGACGACTCGAAAATCAAATGATTAGAGATATAAATATATTAAAATATGATCAGCTCTAACAAAAATACAACCAATATGCGTATTCAGGGAGAGTCTAGGGTAAGACCATGTTTACAAATGTGCTGGTTCATAATGCTGATTGACCATAATTGAATATTTCTCACTGTAAAACATCGTCGCTAAAACATTACCGCCATCTGTTGAGTACACTGTAGTGGGCACTACTCTGAACAGATGGCGGTAGTGTGTAAACGTCAAACGCAAGAGAATTGACTATGCGCGCCACAGGTGGCGGTACTACGAACTACGATACGTTTAAATTGTCCGTTAAATGCTTGTTCGATAAACAACTTGCGAGTGTTATGTCTGGTTGTCTGTGGGTATATGTTGCCAACCCTAATAAAAATAACAATAAAAAATGCTTAACGACGTGTTCAGTGAAGTAATGAAATTTTGTTATTAGTGGAATGCTTAAATAAAACAGCAAAAAAAGGTTATCTTCCATTTAATTCCACTTAATTAATTTTGGTATCCATGACAGATACGTATTTCGACTACAATGTGCAGTCTTCATCAGTGTCATTTCCATTAAAGAACTTATCAAAATCTAACCCCTTTAAGTACTCATCCCCTAGGTATAATTCCCTTACACCCCTAATAAAAAAATACCATACACGAACGATAACCCAAATGATTGAACTATTCAACAAATGGTTTGGATAATATCCCGAACACGTCGTTAAACAAATTAACCATAACATTTTTATTAGGGCTGCAGCCATCATTTTTCTTCACTGGCATTCTCATATACACAGAAATTCAAAACAACCCAAAATTAAGTTCTTTTCACTCATCTCCCATGTTCCGTACGATAAGCCAAATTTGGGTAAACCGGCTCAAAGTAGTTTGCATTTAAGCACGGCAAAAAAAATTACCCATCGCTAAGTTATTTTCATTTTTTTCTACCCAAAATTAAGTTCAATTAACTCAAATTAGGGTATATCGCATATTACTCAATTTTGGCTTCTCGTACGGAACTAGACGGTTGAGTCGAATCTTTCGTTCTATTTTTGACAACAATAGCGAGAGGAAATGAAACGGGCAGAGGTCAAATAACTCAAATTTGAGTTTAAAAAACCCAAGCGGTGGGTAGTTTTGTTTTTCTGTGTATAAGTAAAATAGGTTTACTCATAAACTGGGTGACTTCTCTTTTTGTGATAATGAGTTATTCTGGCTGGCCGTGTTCGAGAGGAATGATATTTTTTTCCATTTTTTATGTGTGTATGAAATATTTCGTTTCTTTTTTCAAACGTTCCCTAACGAGAGACGAGTGACAAGCTTTTGAAAAGGTTCTTGCAAACATTTTATAAATCATATTTTTTAATATATTTTTAATTATTAAAAAATGAGGATATTCAATTTAATTAATTAAGCATTTTATGAACTAACAGTGTGAAATATATGTCAAAATAATTATAAATTAAAAAAGCCTGATAATACGTAAACGTTTCGTACTAAACAAAACCATCTTAAGAAAATCAAAAAGAGCGTCCATCAGAAAAACAAAACTACCCACCGCTTGGGTTTTTTAAACTCAAATTTGAGTTATTTGACCTCTGCCCGTTTCATTTCTTCTCGCTATTGTTGTCAAAAATAGAACGAAAGATTCGACTCAACCGTCTAGTTCCGTACGAGAAGCCAAAATTGAGTAATATGCGATATACCCTAATTTGAGTTAATTGAACTTAATTTTGGGTAGAAAAAAATGAAAATAACTTAGCGATGGGTAATTTTTTTTGCCGTGCTTAAATGCAAACTACTTTGAGCCGGTTTACCCAAATTTGGCTTATCGTACGGAACATGGGAGATGAGTGAAAAGAACTTAATTTTGGGTTGTTTTGAATTTCTGTGCACATCATACGCCCTTTACATAGAACGCACAATGCTTTTTGACAGTTCGATGGCGAAAGAATTTTTTCACTTCGGCAAGTCGCGCGGCGAGTGTGTTGTTTGCAATCCGTGGGTACGAAATTTCTGTAAATTTAGGTACCAGTTTAGTACAGAAAGTGAGAAAAATCTGTTGATCAGTATTCCTTAGATAAAGAAGCATCGTATGCGGTTACTTTCCGGCATGAATTACTGTGCAAATCGGTGAAATTTCGGTGTTTTCTGTAAGTTGACCCCCTTTCTGGCGGATGATTTTTTTTTTTCGGAGCTCCTCGTCTCGTCGGACGTGTGCTGCATTTGTGTAAGTGCGTGTTTCCAAGTGCTTTGGCGAGGTTTTTTTTGAACAAAAGTCAGGAAAAGTCGTGTTGCTTGAGGTGTGTGCGTGAGTACGGTGGGATCGGTACCCGGAGCAGCCAGTTTTCATTATTTTGTCAGCACAAGCATTAACTTCGAGAAAAGTTTCAGCAAGCATTGTAATCGAACTGCTCGTTTGGCTAGTTTATTGTTTATTAAAAATTAAATTAAATTTGCTTTTAAATGTAGATTATGACATTGTTACTGTATCCTTACTAGAATAATGCTATTTTAAAAATCAATTCCAATAAGCTCTGGGAACTCTGTTCCGCGGCTGACGATCGCACTGTTCGCGCTAGCAACGAATCGCCGTGTGCGTGGGAACGAACGGGATGCAAGTAAACACGGCTCAGCCGCCTATCTTCCACTACACAACAAGCGCGACAGCGAGCGCCACTTCAGACGAGGAAGCCGCGATCCGAAGCATTAATTTCGTATGATTGTGTGTTGTTTGGTTAAAATTTTCTCTTGAATCATCGACAGAAAAAGATTGAACGAACGAAAGCCAGTGTCGGGAACACGACCATTCCGGGTAAATAAGGAGTAGTGCGACAAGCAACGAGATGAGCAGCCGGATGGACAATCTGGACCTGCTGACGGACGATGAGCTGCGGCATCGTCTGATTCAATACGGCTTCCAGAATCTGCCCATTACCGGCAGCACCCGCAAGCTGTTGATCAAGAAGCTACGGAATCACATGGAAAAAGAGAAGGGAAAGTTAAGGCGTGACACGAGTTTTGCGACGCGATATTCTTCCGGTGAGGAATCCGATGGGGAGAAGCGTTCGAGAAGTGGTGGTGGTGGTGGTGGTAGTCGTAGAGCGACGACGGGAACTGGCGCGACACGGGCGATGATGCCACCACCGGCAGCGAGACCTGCCAGCAGACGGATCAGCAGCAATTCGGGCATATCAACAAACAGCAGTCTACTGGCGAATAATAACAACAATAACAATGGCAGTCACAACAAATCGATTTCGCCTGGATCCGGCAGAAGTTCGGTTTACATCTCGCCTGTAATTATCAACGATAGCGAGGAGGAGGACTATTCCGGTGGTTTGAGGACGACGGGCCGCGTTTTCGGTAAGTACTGTTACTATTTTCGGCTTACTCACGGAAATCATCATTATTTGGGGATAGAGAAGAGACAGCAAAAATATGTACCGATATAAATTATTTCAACCAACTCTTAACGGTACAAATATCTCCTTAATCCTAATAGGCAACTCATCTCCCTCGGCTAGTGCATTATTTCGACGCATTACCACCGGTGCCCATTCCACACCCACGCGATCTACCACGACAGCGCCAATATCGACAGCACAGCTTCCCTCTGCCAGCAACAGCAGCTACCGAGCCACCATCGGCGGTAACAACAGCAACAACCACGGCCTTGAGCATACCAATTCGTCCAATTCGAATGGTAGCGCTTCGGAATCTCCCTACGTCAGTGAGTACACCAAACGGTTGTTACAGCTGCGCGGGGAAACCGTATCGCACGAGAGCTACAACAATACCATTGGAAGTGCCATAAGCGGTATTGGGGGTGCTGCTGCTTCTACTGGAAGTAATCTCAGCTTGAATCACAGTGGAGCCCCAATTAGTGGGAACCACTTTCGTAGTCGGTACAGCAGTTACGCGAACCGGTACGGTGTTGGGAATCAAAGCGATGGGGGAGGCAATGGCAGTAGCAGCAGCAACAACAGTGGAGGATTCAACGAGAACGATATCGTAACTCATGCTCAACCCGATCCTGAACCACCGCAGATTCCGTTGAGGGTGGCGATGGGAAATCTGATTTCGAAACTGGACGAACACTACGGTTTCAAGCAGACGTTTATCCCATGTGCGCTGCTGTGCCTGTTCATTGCCTTCCTGGTGTTTGTTGCCTTCATGTATATGAGAATCAGTCCGGACATTGCCAGTACGCTCAGTTCAATAGATACGAGGTAAGATCCAACAGGTTTTGAAGATTTTCAAATCATTTTCCTAATCTTTTTCTCCTAGTTATGACTTGTGCGACAGCACGACAACGGATATGAACAAATGTGTAGCTCAATCGGAGCTAGAACCAGCCTTTGAACTATTGAAACTGCTAGGAACGGAACTTAAGAGCCGGGTGGAATACAGCAAATGCGTCGATGCAAGTGTGCCCTATTGGATGAGCGCCGACGAAGTGCTTAAGCTAGCTAAAGAACGCAGTCCAAACGTGTTGATCCCGCAACTCACAAAATATCTGCACACGATTGAGTACCTGATCGATCGGAACCCCCTGTGGAGAATAAACCACTGTGACCAGGACGGGAAGGAAATAGATTTCATGGAAGTGCTCCGAAGGAGATCAACCCGAACCAACTACTTTGCCATTCTGAAACCGAAGTTGCCGTTCACGTGTATGCTGTACAACAAGTTTCACACGTTCTTCGTGATTATCGGTGTGATCGGACTAGTCGGGATTATCACATATCTGGTTAACTATTTCTTCAAATTTGTACTCTACGTCAAACAGAAGCGTAAAAATCAGGTGAATGTATTAATCAGCGAAATCATCCAAGCGGTCAGTCAAGCAGCGAGTGAACCCTCCGAAGAGGGAGGTGTCGTTGTGGTCAACCATTTGCGGGACAGGCTTATCACACCAGACAACCGGAAGAGACTGGAATGGGCATGGGTGGAAGCGCTTCAATTTCTGGAACAAAATGAAAGCCGAATCCAGTTCGAAGTGGGAAACCGTGCAGGGGAAGATTTCAAAATGATGCGTTGGATTGACACCGCACTACTGCCTTCAAGTGGGCGGTCGGTCCCAGGCGGCGCCAAGAAATGGCAAAGTCCTGCTTTCGATAATACCAACAAAATCCCGGATCCACCGACCCCGTGTCTGAAGATTCGTCAGATGTTCGACAAATATGAAGTGAACGATCCCAACCTGAAAACCATCGTTCAGGATGCCATTCTGGAGAAGGTCGGCTCCCGGTGCAGAATTTACGACATTCAACTGGACCGGAATACCTGCTGTGTGTACGTTCGATGCGCTTCAGCCAAGGATGCCGGAATCGTGCACGATGAAATCAACGGCTGGTGGTTCGACAATCGATTGGTTTCGATCAAATTCCTCCGACTGGAACGCTATGAGGCACGGTTTCCCCGATCGTCCGCTGGGCCAGTGTGTCTCAAGCCCTCCAATCGCAATAATAGCTCAATGTCACAACAACAACAACAACAACAACAGCAACTCGCAGATCGACCAACGACAAATCCGCTGGAACGGGACGACGACGAGGAGGAAGAGGAGGATGATGACGATGATCTGGAACTCGACCAGGAGCCAGAGTGCTAATTGTTTTAGTTTTAGACCGCTAATTTTAAAACTATTTTAGTTGTAAATTATCGTGGCTGCTTTATAATATAGATTGTTTGTTCGTGAGTTAATTTTCGGACGCTAATTTCTTTCTTTTATTATTCATCGTTAAAAAAGAGAGTAAACCTCAAGAAGCCAGCAAAAAATATCGTTAACGTTAGGGAAATAAACCAGAGATAGTAGAGTAAAATCTTTGTTGGTCTAATCTAATGTAGGGCACTGTTGAGACGTCGTATGAAAAATAACACTTAACTGCGCGAGCGCGAGACCAAATCTTATCATTTGAATGAAAAGATCGCGGCTGTTTACAGATGCCTCTGCTACGACCTACCGGCTGGCAGCAGGTGGGAAAACGGAAGCGACAAGGCAGAAAAGGATGGTATACAAACGAAACGACTGTTATCACTTATATTCCTGCTGAGTACTGACTAAACCCGAGGGGGGAGGGAAACAAGACACAAACATACAAACACAAAAACACGGATACAAATCGACGATGCGCTATCATTAATTTTAGTTGGTAACTAAACAAAAAGTTAAAGATATCTGACTAAAACAAAAAAAAAAAAAACAAAAAATCTGGAACTTATTAGAGTAAGGAAAATTGTAAAAAATCACAAAAACACATGATCGATTCAGAAATAAATAAATGGCAAATCTTTACTAAGAAAACTTGCGTTGAAAGGGTTGCAACTAAGAGATGACAGATCAGTGGATTGTTTTAACAACTCTTTGGTTTACACGGCGATAATATTGACAGTATTTGACAAATCTTAGGTAATTATGACTCCGTAGCTATCTTTCTTTCGCTTTATTTTAAATGTCATTGTTGCGTGTGATTTGTCAAATAATCACCCCAATGCGATGTTCAGAGTTAAAGCAACAATCAATATGAAACTAACGATTGTAATTTGGCTCAATAATTGACATTGGTCCTAAGCAGGGATGGAAAATCATTTACATTCATTTGCCTCCTTTTTTCATCAACAGAATACCGTAAAATGATGTATGAAGCTTTTGTAGCTTTTGATATGAACTACAATCTGTATTCAGCTAATAACTAAAATCTGTACCTCTTATGCATGACGAAATAGAGCTGGCAGAACATGTTATTGTTTTTCAGTGAATGCAATTTACATTCACTGAAAAACAATGGAGGGTTCCAAGGGGCAAGACAGCTGTACTCAGAGTAAATATATTAGCTGCGAGTAAATTTGAGTTGCTCACATTTACTCAAAAATGAACAAAGTAGTCCCGTATTTTTCATTATAAGAAGTTCTGGAAACAACCACCGGCTGACAGAATGTTTTGTTTAAATATTTTAAATTTAGAGAAAATTTAGCATTTGGCGTCAGATTATCAACTTTAATATAGCATAATTTTTGTTTGTCTTGTCCCCCCGTCTCGATGAGTCTCATCGTCGCCCACTGGTCACCCACCATAGCCGGTCGAACTCCGGACAAAGCTAGAACAGCACTACCGTTCATACTGGCGACAGCGCTCTGATGAGACAACGAAACCCTACCCCAAGCTCCTCCCCTGATCCTATCCTTCGAAAATGTACCCTTCTAACCTCGAGTAAGCCGCGAGTAATCGGCCCAACTCCTACTAGACATAGAATTAAGTGAATTTTGTTACACACAGTGAACAATGAATTATCGGCTCCGTAAAGCTAACGCGATTGAGCCTTCCAAATAAACGAACTAGATAAAAAAAATATAGCATAATGTCCATGAAACGGCAATATTAAGTTTTCATGCTTTAAAGATCCAAGTTACAATACTTTTGCCAGGCCAGGGCCTCTTTTGCTTTCCAGGGATTGATGATCTTCGAAGTTTTTCGTGATGTGGTGGAGTGATTTCAAGGCCAAAGAAGTTGGAATTTGACCTAATATTATGAGAAGATTATTTTAGCTCATGAAAATTAATACTCAACCTCTCAAAATCGATGCAAGAGGCTTCTTGTTCTGTTGAATTAGTTGCTGGCACGAGGAAACTCAACATTACTAATTATTTGTAATTGAGGTGTACAGTGACCAGCAAAACTAAATTTACAAGCTTCCGTAATGGAAGATCGATATAAATCTCCGAAAATATTTTGCTAGAAAAAGTCAGAGTAAGTTCAGAGTTCCTCCGGAGACTGTCATAAATCCTCTTTTCGATTGACTGGAATCCTTCTTGAGTTTGTGCGAAGTCTTCTAGGCATTATCCAGAATCCCTGTGGGACTATCCTGAATCCTTCTTGTGACTGTCCATCAGAATCCGTATTATGTTATTGCTAATGTTCCGCAGCATGCTAGACGGAAGTGCAATGGCCTTTCCATTGCCAAAATATCCTCTCGGTTAAGCTTTAGTTTGAAAGGGAACCGCTTAAAATGTTGAAATACGTATTACAAATTTACAAATGCAATTACGCCCCTTTGAAATGTGGCCACTGAATTATCTTTGCTTGACAGCATCAGTTTTCACACAACAACCAGGTTGCTATGTGTAAATGTTGTCGAGCAATGCGAGTTACTCAGAGTTACTCAAAATTAACTCCGATTATACTCATGATCGAAAGCTGTCTTGCCCCAAAGAGGGTTCTTATCGCTCTGATTAATCATGCATTAGAGATACAGATTTGAGTTGTTTACAAAGGATGTAGTTAATATCAAAGCCTACAAAACCTTCAAACACTATTTTATGGAATTCTGTTGATGAAAAAAGTTAGAGGCAAATGAATGTAAATGATGTTCCATCCCTGGTCCTAAGTACATCTAAAAGTGCATCCCATTTGCGATAATTTAATTTCAACACTTCACGGCTTTTCTTTAGAATTTTCTCAAGAATTTCCTTAAAGCAACCAAAAATTTACTCAGGGCGTGTTTCAGAATTCGTGTCCAACATTCTTGGGTTTCTCCCTAGAAAACTCCACCATTCACAACCAACCACTGAATGGATAGACTTTCTTAGGCTCTGAACCATTTGGTGGATTATTTTAACTTTTGGTTAAAATTTGACAGATGAAAAGTTATCGATTAACCCTGCTATCCGAGCATGGTTATTTCTGACAGACAAGAAGTTAAATTTTGACAACCGTGGCTCGAAAACCGGTCGATCGACAGCACGGGGATTTTCGAACCTAGAAAATAACTTTCGAAATGTCACTTTTAACCACGAGTTAAATTTAACTCGGCAAATGGTTCAGAGCCTTAGGCTGCTAAGAGCCTAAGTTGTCAATAGAAAGCGACTAAACTCCTTCAATGCAATGCTACTGAATTATCTACAAGTGTCGAATGCGAATGGGCTGGTTTATTACAATATTACGAATATGGAGAAATGCAAATATCTTAGGCTCTGAATCATTTGGTGGATTATTTTAACTTTTGGTTAAAATTTGACAGATGGAAAGTTATCGATTAACCCTGCTATCCGAGCGTGGTTACTTCTGACAGATAAGAAGTTAAATTTTGACAACCTTGGCAAAGTTCTTCTCGAAAACCGATCGATCGACAGCACAGGGATTTTCGAACATAGAAAATAACTTTCGAAATGTCACTTTTAACCACGAGTTAAATTTAAATTGGCAAATGGTTCACAGCCTTATAGATATCCAAAAATATTCTTTTTGTCAACACAGTTTTTTGACAAAACAAAAGCTATATTCGAAATTCGAACTTACTCCGAGTAAAGTACAACTTTATTCATACTAATTTCCAAGGTTGCAAAGACTCATTTCAGCTAAAACAATGTTTTTCTAAATTATGAAATAATTAGATGCCATGATCAAATTTTGAATTGGTAGGATACAAGAAGAGGTTGCAAAGAATGTGTTTGACATATTAAACCTGTTTATTTCACTTCATGAGAGTCACAATCAGCGATTTTTCACAAACTCACTCACTCAGTGATCAGCAAATCGCTGATTGTGACTCATAGAAAGCAAAATTTACAGGTTTTATGTTTTCAACGCATACTTTGTAACCTCTTCTTGTAAGTTACAAGTAAAACATGCCATCATACCATCTTTTGGTTTTATTATTCCGAAAAACATTATTTTAGCTGAAATGAGTCTTTGCAACCTTCCTAATTTCAGCAAATGCTCAAAGAGTTTACTTTTCTCAAACTGGTTCACTCATGAGTAAATACTTGCTTTTATTCGTATGACCTATTGTCAAATGTTTATAATCTGAGAAGAAATTTTAAAATCCCTTTAATAAAAAAAATACACAAAATAGTTTCAAAAGTTCTCAAAAAAATCTGTTCTTGAAAGGAAATTGAAAACGAATATTTACAACGCGCATACAATTTAAAGTAATTACACTCAGGTATTTTTTTACACGGGAGATACGTACCGTGTAAAAAAAAACAGCGTAAAAAAAACCTACGAGATTTTGATTTTTTACATGCTTAAATGTTTTTAAAAAATCGGATTTTGATGCCATTTGTAATTATAGCATGCTATGGTCCATATAAACATATTTTAAAAATTTCTGTATTTACACCAAAAATTGTGATTTTTTTACAATGTGATGTCACAGGAAATTTTGTTGCTCTCCATTTTGATATTTTAACCGCTAAAACGACCAAAACGACAGCAACCTGAGCAATAGAGTGATGCAAAATTTGAAATTTTCGCTCCACAATACTTAAACGATTCCAAATCGGATCCTGACTAACCTCTCAAAATTTGAACCCATTTGGTGAGAAACTGAGATGGCACAAACCATTTGAAGTTTGTATGGGAATTACTATGATAAAACCAATATTTTTGTTCATGTCTATCTAATAATTCACCATATCGGTCTGCTTCAAAAACTTTCAATTGCACTTGTAGTAAATTTTCCCAGCTACAACTTTGCTCAAGACCACTTTTTGATTAAATGCAAGGATAGAAAGTTATCAATGGATCAATGCGCTGATGTCTTATGATCATGCTCAATCAACTGCTCAGCAGGCAACATTGGTGTTTCTGGGGCGTTGAATAGGACCCAACAATCATGGCTACTATGTCACACTGCAAAATACAGTGTTGCCCACAGAGCAGCTGCTTGATCATGTCATAAGTTTACCAATCTCTTAATTAATTAATAACTTTTTCCTGTCGCGTTTTACATAGAAACGATCTTCAGCAAAAATGTAGCTGAGAAAATTTTCTATAATAATGGTTATCGAACTGTTTCGCAGCTCAATATGGAAAAAGACTAGAAGGCAATGAACAAAAAGTTGAGATTTCCCATAGTAATTTACATGTAAACTTCAAATGGCTTGTGGTAAGTCTGTTTATAACCAAATGAGTTGTAACTTTGGGAGGCTAATCAGGACCCGAATTGAAACCATTTAAGCACTGTGGAACGAAAAAGTCAAATTTTGCATCAGTCTACTGAGCAATCATTATCATCGAAATCACAACATCAAATTTAGATTTCAATTTGATCTCAGGCTTTGCTCGGGTACCGAGCAGCTCGGCAATCTATTTTGCTGGATATCAGTGAAAAATTTGCGAGGTTCAGTTAACAAACGGTAATGTTGTTTATGGCACTGGAAAATTTCTATTGCAATCTCCAGGTCTATCCAGAGACTTGCTAAGCCGATCTAACAAAACAAAATCCAACCGAAACTCGTATATAGAAAGAGAGAATGATTGGTAATTTCCATTTAATTCCACTACCTTAATTGCTTATCCTTGACAGACGCGAGTCTAGTCCAAGTATTAGTACAAGACACTGAAGAAGTCTGCACATTGTAGACGAAATACGCGTATCTGTCAAGGATAAGCAATTAAGGTAGTGGAATTAAATAAAAATTACTAATCCTTCTCTCTTTCTTTACACAGGTATATTACACTGCAGATGCCCAAGATTTAACAAAAACCCGCTTACCTCCGGTTCCATTTCTGACAAAAGTCTCCACACCGGAACCCCACGAATCTTGCCCCACAAATCCCACAGGGCGTTGATTATCGCAGCAACGGCCAGATGCGTAACACCTTTCTCAGGACCAATCTTAAAACAAAACAATAAAGACATGTCCGTTAATTAATTCCCTACTCTAGGTACCGACATTGGCATGTGTTAATCCTACCCATCGCAGTTGTGATTCGCTGGTGATTTCGCGCCAAAATTGAGAAAAATTCTGATAAATGCTTGCAGTGGTACGGCTCTCAACGAATCGCTTCATCGCGTTAACCGCAAGCAGGACGATATCCGTTCCGCGACCTTTCAAATCGATAAGAGTTATTAGAACAAGATTCTAACAAATCTAGTAAATGTACCTATATGTCGTATTTGTACAGGTCAACTTACCCAAGGTGAAAGTAAGCCCATTGCCGTAAATTCCCTCAGCAGTGTGAATCGTCACGTAAACACACGAATAATCCGGATCCGTATGCTGGATCACATAAATGAGAGCAAATCGCATCAATACATGTCACTCACGAAAATTCGATTGTTATTATGTTATTCAGTATTCACGTACCATCGCATCCGATCCGTGAGCCCCCAGCGAAGTTGGCCATCGGATATCCTTCGCATCCAGGGTTGTAATGTTCAGACATTTATCCTTGACAGGTGTAGCAGTCATTGTTGATTGTGTCGTTTCGTTATTTATGGGACTTTCGTTTCGTTCGAATGATGATCGAAAATTTATGGATTGTTGAATGAATTGTCGATTTCGGGGACTAGACGTTTCACTCCAGCAGCATCCGTTGTTAAAAAAAAACACACGCACTTTGCTCCGTCAGCTGTTATTTACCGTTTTACTTTCACCGTTGTAGGACGAATCGCGTCTATTTATACTTCATTTGAGGATTTTCTTCTTCGTGGGCTTATGAGGGATTGCGGTGCTGAGTATTTGTTATTAAAGCATATACATTCAAAGCTGCATCAATGACCAACCGGCTAGAGCGAACAAATGGAACAAACACGCGTCACTCATCGTGATTCCTTGTAATTGTGTGCAACCGAGACAACTGTACATAAGCGACATTATCGTAGGTTTGTTATCAGGCCAATAAACAGGTTGTTTGGGAAGAAATTCGTTAGGGAGGTACCTACTAGAGATGAATCGTAGAGCACTGGAATGTAAGAACTGTATCGAAAGCTAAGAAATAAACAAATGTTTTTATCCAAAACGATGAAACATATTTTTAAATGAAGTTACTTAAATTATTTATGTTATGTCCTTGAACAATTAATTCAAATAAAATAAATAAATACTAAATTCTGTAAGGTTTATTTATGACCATAGGTTTTGCTCCTCTTTTAAATTTGGCAAACTGTGACATAAAAGTTTTCCCCACCCCCATCGTACATTTTGTTAAAGCTATTTCATGATCCTAGTAGCCTTAGCACGGACAAGGTTGAGAAGGAAACGATTTTTTTTTTCAATTGTTTTGGCCTAATTTGACATCAATTTACTATGCTGCCGGTAATCGCAAGTCAGTCCCATCTGCATTTTTATCAATTTTGAGTTAGCAGCATTATTCAGTTTATCTTTCTATGTTTTTTTTAGATGTGCTATTGAAAAAAGGTGGTTTGTTCACTTCCTCTAGGGTATCTGAAACATGTCCGTGTGTTTCCAACATGGTGCTGGTCATGACTCTTTTCTTTGATCTTATTTTTAAATTCTCATGTGAATTGATTTATCGAGTGAGTTTGGCACGTTTATGAAAAGCTCTGGTCTGATGAAGACCCATACTCATCGGAATATGTTCCGGCCATTGCTCTGGAACCAGCGAAACAAATCCAGAAACATTCAATAACGTTATATGGGACCATGGTATCTTTCTACTGTTCAATACTGTGCTAAACTAATGCAGCATCGTCATGGAATCGTGACTGACTTGCGGTTATTTTTCTCTTTGACGTGTAATCATATCATATCATATTTTGACCATAAAATAAAAATTTAACTATATATTTCCAATATTTTTGGGTAAACATAGATGCATCCTATCACATTGTACATTTATTTTTAAATTTATCCCTCCAAAATAAGTGTCAAATCAGAAAACTTGAAAAATCTTTGAACGCCGTTTTCTGATTTCCAGTTTTTTACAGATGGGACTGACTTGCGATTATGGAACGATGCCATCAATAAACTAAATTTAAGATGATACCAGTACCACAGAACAGATAGGTAACATGGGAATCAGAAACGGAGCCATTTAAAATTTCAATTGGTAGTGACACCTAGCGGTGGAGAGAACGCTTTTTACACTCAAAATTTATTTACACTTATACCAACAATCAATACGAAACTAACGATTTCAAATTGGCTCACCACTTGACTAGCCTATTGGTCCCAAGCAAACGATTAACGTACCCTATTCTAGTCGACATTCTAGTACTACGCAATGTTTGTTTTGATTCGCTATGAAAGTTTGACAGATAAAATGAGGGGTTATTGGTTTTTCCTATGTTTCGAGGGGTGAATCGTTAGCTTGGGACCGAAGAGAGTACCAGAGCTGAGCCAAAAAGTTGAGCACGTTATTTCGGGACCTTCTAGTCTTAGAGTTACCTCTATGCTTATACCACCTTTTACCATTTATACCAGCTTTACTTGTATGTACAATTCAAACATACCCAAGATTCATATATTGAAAGGTGTGTACACTTCTGTTGGTGCTGATGTATAGAGTGTCTGTAGGAAAGATGAGAACATCTTATTTGTTTTTTAGATTATATGCTTGTTTTGAATTCTTCTTCTTCTTCTTGTTCTTCTTCTTCTTCTTCTTCGAATTTAAACTTATTGCTAATCGCATATAAGCTTATTGCGTGCTCTGAGCTTAGTGTTCTAGATGCACTTCCACAGTTATTTATTGAGAGCTTTCAATGCCGGTATCATTTTACATTAGCATAATTGTGTGGCAAGTACAATTATACCAACAATCAATACGAAACTAACGATTTCAAATTGGCTCACTACTTGACTAGCCTATTGGTCCCAAGCAAATGATTAACGTATCCCATTCTAGTCGAAATTCTAGTACTACGCAATGTTTGTTTTGATTCGCTATGAAAGTTTGACAGATAAAATGAGGGGTTATTCGTTTTTCCTATGTTTCGAGGGGTGAATCGATTAGCTTGGGACCGAAGATAGTACCAGAGCTGAGCCAAAAAGTTGAGCACGTTTCTTCGGGACCTACTAGTCTTAGAGTTACCTCTATGATTATACCAAATACATCATATCAAGAAGACTGGCAACTTAGCCAGAATCCAGGAGAGATACTTACGCTTGTTCTGCCTCTATAGTTTATTAGCTTTATTACCAATACAGACGCAACCAAAACAAACTGCGGTGGATAAAACTGTTTTGCAGTATGGAGATTTTAGAAAAATCGGCAATTCCTCTTCAAACATTGCTTCTTGGTATGAGCATTTTTTTGTTTAGTAATAGTGACATTATCGACACATCTAAATCTCAATCCTAGATGCTTGAAAAATCTAACGCTAGCGAATCACTCTACGCAAAATATTTTACATTTCAAGCCTCTAAATCTATCTACTCGCATCGCGATCCATCTTTTTGCCGGAAATCTACAAAATCTTCATTTATTTATTTATTTATTTATTTATTTATTTATTTCGTCAACCAACGTAGACTAGTACAACTAATACAGTTTTGTTTTCTTAAATATATATTTATATAAAAAAGTAGTGTCAGCTTTCTTGTCTTTTCTTTTATGAGTTGTTATTTCTTATGGAATAAAAATATTGCTTTAGTTTATGCCGAGACATTGTAAAGTCAATGGTTTCGCAGTGTTTATTGTAAGAGGCCATCATGCGGTTTAATGGCCCATATTTTGCATAATTTGTGCGATGATGTTTTATGGCAAATAAATTTCGATTTCGGAGTTGCCGAGTGGGTGCAATGGAAATTTAATTTTGATAAAAGTTCTGTTGAGTCAATTCGCTGCGAAACGATATCATTTACAAATGAAACCATTGCATATTCACGACGCTCTTTTAATGTTTGTATGTTTATAAGCATGCAGCGTGCTTCATATGATGGAAGAGGAAATGAAGTCCAACCTAATTTACGAAGAGCGTATAATAGAAATTGTTTTTGTACTGATTCTAATCTTTCTTCGTGCGTGATTGAAAATGGAGACCATACAATGCTGCAATATTCCAGTATTGACCTCACATTGGCAATATATAGTGTTTTAATTGTGTAAGGGTCCTGAAAGTTATAGCAAAAGCGCTTGATAAAGCCTAGCATGTTATTTGCCCTGTGAATAATTGTATTGTAATGGTCTATGAAAGTTAGCTTAGAGTCTAAGATAATTCCTAAATCCCTAACTCTTTCACATTTGTCTACAGTTTGATTTCCTAATGCAATTGAAATGTTTGAAGTTGTTCTTTTTCTACTAAATGATATTAAGTTACATTTTTTTACATTCAATTCTAGTAGACTTTTTTTTGCACCATATGTAGAATATGTGTATTTCATTCCGGAATATATTGATGTCTTCTTCATTTCTTATTTCCAAAAAGAGCTTCATGTCGTCGGCATAAATAAGCAATTTAAGTTTTTTGAGAATGTAAGATATGTCGTTTACGTATAGAATAAAAAGGAGAGGTCCCAAATGAGAGCCTTGGGGGACGCCTGAAGTGACTTGAATTGGGCTCGATTTCTTTCCGTTGAATTTAATATTTATATTTAATCTATCTACTTATCACGCGCGCATCTCAAGACAGAAAAAAAAATCTTCTTTGCATCTAAGATGGAGTCGCACCCCTCGCACATTATATACTAATAAAATATCGAATAAATTTTTCCATTATTGATATTTTAATTTAAAAATAATTTCTGCCATACATTCTCAAGTCAATTATGTATCAATTCACGTGATCGAACGCAGCTCGTCCTTTGGTGGTAATTGCTGTCATAAACAGTGCAAAACACCTAATTTAACGCATCGCGACATGACATGAATGAAGCTTTATGTGATTTCACTTCGTGTGTTCGCAGTTGATGAGTCGTTTCAGCGTTTCCGTCACGTCACGTCACGTCATTTTTTTTTTTAAATGGGACGTAAATCTTGTGGTATGAGAAATTGTTTTATATCAACATTTGCATCAAGTGCTGCATTCTATGCCGTAGGAAAAGGTAGTGTGGTCGCAAATAAAAAAATAGAGAATAAAAAAGTTAAAATATTTTTACACTTCTAGATGCACCGACGTTCAATTCGCGTGGCTTGAGAATATTGATCCAACAGTAAGGGAAAACCAAGCCACCCGAAATAATTTTGGTTTGCTCAGATCACTTCCTGTGCCAGTACCCTAAAGAATATATTTTTGATTGTTTTATATTGTTAACTTGTAATGAAGGACATTAAACAAAAACAATCGTGTAATATTTTTTTATTTATATTTTTTTCTTGTTGATTTGTAAGCAAACATTTGTTTCTCTATAGGCTCTTTTCATGCACCACCAATGTAGAGTGTGCTAGCCGATTTTGAGAGGAAATGTCATCCAATCCATTTGTTTCCATCATAATGACGATTTTCAAAACTCAAAATTATTTACATTTTATTGCATAACTTGCAAAATTCCATCGGGAGTGGTCTTATTTTTCGATTATCTACAGATCTGAACTAATTTACAGCTGAAATAACCACACATTAAAAATCCGGAAGATCATAACCGCTGGTACAATTTTATAAATCTTAATTTTTCTCATCAAAAATATATGAAAGCCCCAACTGCAAACCCGATACAGAAAACAAAATATTCCACACGGATGATGATTTCAAGCACCTGCGGTGGATAAATTAATCAGGAAGGGGAAAATATTGTCCTCTTCCTATGCTTCACGGTGAACATTTCCACCCTCATCACTCTTTTGAAGGTTCCCCTATTCACCGCCAGAGGCTGAAACAATAGCTTAGTTTCTATTGGATTTGCCTATTATTGGCGTTGACGGCACACGGCACCGTCGAAAAATTTGCTCTTCCAGCAAATATAGACAGTTTCTTAAGGGAATTTTCGGTGGAGTGAAAGGATAGTACAAAGTTCGCCATGTTTCACGCACAGTCTGACCACAAACGAAGTGACAGACGGAGCGGCTCGAAAACTCGATATGCGATTCTAGGCAGTGTATCTCTTATGCATGATGAACGAGAGCGAACAGAACCCACCATTGTTTTTCAGTGAATGTAAATTACATTTACTGAAAAACAATAACTAGTTCGTCATGCTTAAGAGATTCAGATTAGAGTTATTCACAAAAGTTCTAGCTAATATCAAGCCTACAAATGCTTTATTCATCATTTTAAGGAATTCTGTTGATGAAAAAGTCGGAGGTAAATGATTGTCCATGCCTGCCTAAGAAGGAGATGGCGAAAATGGTGCACATTGAGATATTTTGCAGACATCAGACATGATCAAATTTTGTTAAATTTACAAACTAGATAAAAAGAAAGAAAAAAATATTTCAAAGTTAGAAAAAATAGAAATTTCTTTAATATTCGAATCCTGTAGAATCAATTCAGATTTACATGTGAAGCGATACTCGTAAATTCGACAATGTTTGATGTAGCCCATATGTCATAAAACTAAATAACTGGACACGTAACTCCAACTTAGAATAATTTTCATCATATTAAATAACCGTGTTTCGCAAGTTGAATGCTCCAACAAAATGTCATGTGCTGAATAGAATTTCAAGGTCTTAGCACATATACAGAATATTTTTAGGAATTCCATACATAATCTTCTGAGACGTCGGGTTCAGAGTTGGTAAAATCCTTCCGACTCCGACTACACAGCCCTGGTTCGAAGGGAATTTCTTTCTACATCCATTTCAAACAAACACCACAAGCACTCGCACCAGGACTTTTATGAATATGAATACTAGTTTCTTGCCTGTTTTATTGTGCTTCATATATGCTGTTGTATCCATAGAGCTATCAGCAATAATGTATATCCCATAGTATAATATCCTACTACATCTGTGCTCGATTGTTTTTTTTTAAATATCCGTCCCTCTTCTAGAGTTTGAATCTTACACTTCCAGTGTTCCTCCGATGCCTGTGTTGCTCATAATATTATTACATGTAGGATAGCTATCATCAAATCCTGCATAAATTTATGTATGATATATGATACTTTTCTTGTTTGTTTGTTTGTTTGAACCATATTAATTTTAGAGTTAATTATTTTACACTTACGAGGGATTTGCAATCTTCTTCTTTTTCTGTTTTTGTATGTTTCATCATGTCTTCTACCAAAAAAGATGGTTGGTAGTTATTTACGTCTTTTTCATCTCAGACGTTGTGGTTGGTAATCCTCTATCATATACTTTTGTGTGAATTTCTGTAATGCTGAATTTAATTCATTGTAGGTAGGTATTTACCGCGGTTGAAGAGTTGGAAAATGCTGCCTGGATGCTTTCGCTTCTGGGCTACCTCAGGATAATGGTGTGCCTTGGAGACTTTTCAGGTAGGTGGAATGGAATGTTCAATCTTGTTTCTGTTTTTCTTTTGTATCGCTATATATAAGGAATGTTTTAGTTTGGTTCGATATTTTTTTACATCGATAGATATAATTTGTGTTTCTCTTTGTGTTTAAAGTTAGTTTCTGCTACTTTTTTTACATTTTGTGTGATAAAAATGGTTTCTGTATAATTGAACCTGTCTTGATAAAATCAGTGTTTATGTTTAGTGAGCTATCTACAGAGAGAGTGTGACAATGAGTAAAAGTTGAGGACGTAAGTTTTGTAGATTGCTAAGCGAACCCATAAAAAAATGCATTTAAGTACATACACACCAATTCCTGACAGTGTCTTCCCTCTCACAGCAAACGTCGATTACTCGATAGTGGTTAAACCAGCTAAGAAAAGATCTATTGAAAGCAATAACTCAACGTACCAAGTATATATTTCAGAGTCCAGTCTCCTGTTCGTAAATAGTACTAATACCAGCAACCCTTTCATCCCCGCACATAATATAAACTCTGCAATATTGGTTCAACCAGTTCGTGTCACAGCAATACTCTTGTACCATCGATTCCATTTGCCACTTTGTTCCCTATCCAAATTACATCCATCATCATTTACGCAACGCGGTAAGTAAGTAACAATGAACGTTGGACGTAATAAATAAGTCTTAACCGAAAAATATATAACCTGACCAGACAACCAGAGTTCATAAGTATCAAACTTATGCCTACTATATGCAGACAGATTTAACTACAAATAAAGCGTGTATAATATACAAAACAGTCTTATACGTACAAAAATTAACTTATTACATTGTTATCTGATCAAATACAATTTTATTTGTTATAACATAACTTGGTCGCGTAATTTAAAGCGCAAAAATTTGTTAAACAGCAGTCTTGGGCCTTGATTTTAACTTCAAGTGCCTGTTGTCAATGTAATTCCGTTCATTGTCACATGACTTCTGGTTGTCGGAGAGGCCCATCTGAGATTGATTTGTCCAGAGATACGCTAAATAAAGAATTTCCACATGAAATGCACTCCATGACTAGACTAAGTACGCTGAAAATTTAGGAAGGGCGTTATTAAATTTAAAGCGATGTTTTTCTACGTGATTCCTGCTTTCCTCAACCGACTTATGATAGGTGTGATTCGAGCTGTTGTTGTCTATTTTTAAAACCTTTTAGCTGATATGGTTCGAAAGATTGATTTCTCCTTTGTCAAGCTTGCCTGCTCCTGTTTATGATAAGTTTAAAATTTGACTGTTGTAGACTTTAGCTGCTCACTTTGTTTTGTTTTCTACACAGGTATCTATAATTTATGATGTGAATGGTGATGCTTTGTGTCTCTCCTCATTGTTTCAGTACATGAGGAGGAGGGTTTCGATGAAATCCACACTTTACAGGTGACTTGCGTCGTAGTCGGGAATGTTATTGAGCTCGGTATCCTTATTGTGCCAGTAGAAAAACGGTGGACCATTGCTGAAGCAGTACTTCATCTGCAGCGGTTCGTCGTTTTCCACGTAGTACATCAGATAAAAATTGCACATCTCGTCATTGTTGGTGGCCCTGTTTCCGGGAAAAAGGTATCATTTTTAAATCCAATTCTCAATCATTCAGACAAAGACAAAAACTTACCCAATGTTGGTGACGGTATTGCGATTACTTTCCATCGTACACCGCGCGGCCAGGCGATCTCCAGTGCGGATTGGTTCGGTGCTCTCGACTGGATAGAACATCTGCGGCGTCAGTGGGTCACGTTTTCCCAACAAGGTCCAGTGGTTCTGGCCTTGCTCGTCGACTTTCACCCGGTAGCCGGAAACCACCCGTCCCAAGCTGTGCGTGTGTGTTCGATAGGCAAACGGGTAGATGGTTTTGTTCTCACGGATGTCACATACCGTTTCCATGTGTTCGACCTTCATCGGAGGAATGGAGCCACCGGTGCCGAGCAGCAGAACGCCAGCCTGTTTGTTCATCCTGTAATGCGGAAGAGTGTGAATTACATAGCTTTATGGGGAAGGTTTATTGAGCTTACTGTTTCAACGTGTAGTGTAGAAATATTCCGGAATCGTCGGAGGTTGTGCCATCTGAAATGAAATGACTAGTCAACTCAATTGAACCTAAATTAAATATTCACTGTCAACACATTCTTCGATTAAAATCTCAAACAGCTCCTTATGAAACTACATATCCACCTGTTGACATGCCAATTCAAAATTGAAATAACCCTTATGGTAATAATAAATTATAAATGTCCCATCCCATTCCCCTAAAGTTGAACTACCAGAAGAACTTTTCCACGTTTCCCATAAAAAACAAAACAAAAAAGACAATACACGTCGCGATTAATCATTCATGAATTTCCACCTTCTGCTGGGTGGTTTTCAAGAACGTGACGATAATGTCGATCACGTGTCGTGTTGGGGGAAAAGAAAGCTTCTGGTTGGAACACGCCGACTCAGAATTGAGACGAGTCGAAAGTTGATTTACTCAATAGTGAGTTGAATTTTCCGGGCTTTTCCTGAAAAAAACTTCTCGATTATGAGGAAAACCGATAGAGTATATTAGTATACTCTTAGACTGAGTAAAATTTTCATGGATTTTCCTCATATTTTGAGTAAATCCAATTTTGAGTCAGTTTGATCGACCGTGCAGTTATCCATCTCCGGTTTCTCTCGCCGGTCGTTGGTTGGCTTTGGAGTTCTGTATGCGTGCGTGGGTAGGTGGTTGGAAATTGTGGCACGTAGATTTTAGCCACCCACAGCACACACCACTTACGATTCCGTCATCCGAACGATCATTGCCAGTGCGTGTGGTGTTTTTCAGCTCGCTTGACATTCATTCGCAACTTTCGGTTCAGTCAGTGGGATGAAAAAAAAAAGGTTCGATTGACTGGTTGTTTGGTCCTGCAGAGTGGTTTTTTTTCCTGAAACATGGCTTTAGATTAAGTGGATTGGTATTTGGAATTTTAATTTGATACCACGAAAAATACGGAATGATGTCAGGTTTATCACTAAAGGGCACGGATATGCATGCATAATTTAACTTTAATTTATAATAACATGACGGCTTTGGCAATATCACAAGATTCCAGAACGACAAGTGACGTCGACAAACATGAAGTTAAAAAAAATGAGAAATCAGAATTCAATATACTTAGGAGGTTCTTCCTAAACATGAGCAGATCTTTCGAATTTACCTATTTCAGATATTTTTGCGAATGGAGGAGGAGTATAAGGATTGAAAAGTATGGTGAGAAACTTAAATTTAAATCTTTTATGAGATTTCTTTTTTCGATCTCGATTTTGTTGGCACCGTTCATTAAACTTGCCATGGAATTCGGAAATTTTGGAAACCGTTTAAGAAATTTGACGTAGAACTACGTCTTTGTCGACTATACTGGGGTGCAAATCAAAAAAATATGTGTTGTGAAATAGTGTTAGGTTTTGAACGCTTGTAACTTTGTCATTTATGAATGAAATAAAAATCCTAATACGCCAATCGATAGGATATTACATTACAAATCTGATGACATAAATATTTTTTTCAATTTTCCATAACAGTTTTGAAAAATGTACAAATGATAATTTTATCTCTGTTTACATGAAATAAAAGTCTTTCCCAAACTCAGTCATCATAATCGAGTACCACTTTGTTGAACATCGTTCTGCTTGAAGCTGGAAAGACATAAAACAGCGCTGCTGTCATGCCTCTACTCATTACCGCTTTAGACGGCAAGGCATTGGGTCCTGCAGTAAGCAGGAGCAAGTCAGCGGTTAAAGGTGGATCACGGCGACTTGGGTTCCGCTCAATTAAGGGGCTGTTCATAAACTACGTAGACAGTTAGAGGGGGAGGGGTGGCAATTATCCACGGCCCATATAAATTAAAAAAAAATGTATGAACAATTGTCTACGCAGGAGATAGGAGGGGAGTGCAAGAATTCCAAAAAACTGTTTACGTAGTTAATGAACAGCCCCTAATACAAAACATGGCAAAGTTATTTATGCATGACACCCCCCCCCCCCCAAATGAAAACCTGAAAAAGACATGAACTTTTTACCCGCTTACTAACACTGCCCAGGGAGGCAAAACATTCAAATTTGAGAAAAAAAATCGCTTTCGATATTTTGATGTTATTCTGTTAGTGATTTACCACCAACTGACTGTAAAACAGTAGTAGTAAAATTTCTTTTATTTCTGTTGATAATGATGTATACATTGATTTAACATTTCAAGTGATTAGCCTATCTGGCTCTTCATCTTTGTTCCTTGGATATTCTAATTTAGTATTTGCGTATTTCATCTAGTTTACAGAATACCCCTAGGGGGGTGTGTTTTGGTTTAATTAAAAAATTTGATATCCTACCTAACTACGAGTCTAACTTAACTAACGTGCCAGCTCACGTATGATCTGAAGATCTGATCTCAGATAGGTGTCTCTGAACCTTTCCAAGGAGACCGTTCGTCGCTCTTCGAGAGGCTGAAGGCCAGCCAGGCGGTGGACCTCAGAAAATCGGGTCCGTGGAGGTCTGTTTAGGATCATCCTAAGGATCTTGTTCTGGATCCTTTGGAGTTTGAGGTAATGGCACATAGCACAACTCTCCCAGATTGGCGTTCCGTACTCAATGGTGGGGAGGATGATTTGCTTGTGTACGTCAAGCTTATTTTTAAGGGAAAGGGTGAATTGGAGTGTTATCAAGGTGGACTTTTGAGTTACCAGGCGGAACAAGCCGAGGTGAGTTGGAGTGCGGAAATAGTATGGTCGGACAGAACATCCAGGCCTGATTGGAGTTTTCTCGTCAGAGCACGGATCACTCGACCCTTATAGATGACGGCAGTGTCATCCGCAATAATTGACAAAATACCACCACCCGGAAGGGGAGGAAAGTCTGATGTGAAGATGTTGAATAGGATAGGCCCAAGCAGGCTACCCTGAGGGACCCCTGCATCAACTTTGAACGTATCAGAGGGGATATTGTTCAAGTAGACCTGGAATGATCTGCCCGACAAGTAGTTTTTGATGATCTTCACGAGGTAGATCGGAAAGTTGTATCGATGCTGCTTGTACACTAGACCATTATACCAGACATTGTCGAACGCCTTCTCGACATCCAACAATGCCATGGCAGATGTATGGGAAACGGACTTATTCCGCTTGATGATGTTAGTAACCCGTGCGAGTTGATGGATCGTAGAGTGGCTTTTCCTAAACCCAAATTGTTCTTTGAGAAAGATGTTATTGTCATTTGAAAACACCAGCAGACGGCTGAGTATAAGTTTTTCGAATAGCTTCGAGATGGAGGATAAGAGGCTGATGAGGCGATAGCTTTTGGCACTGGTAGGGTCTTTGCCAGGCTTGTGAATTGGAATGACTTTGGCTAACTTCCAGCATGCAGGGAAGTAGCCAAGCTTCAAACACTTATTGATGACCACTGCAAGGTGCTTGAAGAAGTCAACACTCAAGTTTTTCAACTCTAGGTTGACCACTCCATCGACACCAGCGGCCTTCATGTTCTTGGTTGATTTAATCGCTGCTATCACCTCATCAGCCGATATTCTACTTTCGTCAGGGACAACTACGAGGGTGGCAGCGACTCTAGACATTGCCTCAGATACTGCAGGCTCGTGGGGACTCACCATGGCGTGGCCAAGGTTATGTGAATTCACAAAGTGTTGCCCAAGAGCATTGGTCTTTTTAATTGGGGTTATTAGCAAACATGGAGCCGAATTTTGGATAGGAGAGGAAAGGGGAGGAATGGGTCTCGGCTTATTTTTCAAAATCTTTGCCATTTTCCAGAATGGCTTAGCACCATCTGGGAGAAAGTGAATTTTGTTTGCAAAGTCCGCGTTTCTGAGATCCACCATCCTGGCTTGGATGATTTTGTTCAAACGGTTGCAATTGGTCTTCAGGATAGGCAGACCAGTACGCTGGTACTGTCTACGAATCGTGTTGCGGAATCTAATGAGGTCTTTAGTGTGCCTGTCAAGGTTCAGACTGTAAAACATATCTGGTACCTCTTTGTATGCAATTAGATTAACATCCAAAGTCCATCTTTTTTTACATATTCTGCACAAAAGATACGTTGCCCCATTGTTCCGCCTACCGCCGAAAGAGAGGAGAAAACGTCGACCAATCAGCAACGAGTAAACAGTCGGTGCCGTTCTATAAAAACCCCCGCAGTAGCGTGCATAAGTTAAGTTCACAGCAGCAGCTGCTTTAACCTTGTATCGAGAAACAAAGAGAAATAAACAGTAGTGTCTAGTGTAGTCGGCAGCATTCGTCATTTCTACTGCATGTCCATTGGTGTCCCGTAGAGCAGCGTCAAACCCCCTAGCTCTTTTCAGAGCTCCTGAGTTTAAAACTTCGATTGACGCTAGCCAACTCCGTTCGCTCCCGCCCAGTATAGTCCACTTCGCCTCGACAAAACCAGTTCAGAAGGAACACCCATTAATAAATAAAACGGCGGGAAATCCTATCAGGGGCGGGGTTTAGCAAGTATTTTTTGTGCCGAATGTGTAAGATAGGAGGAACTTCGGATGTATTTTTTGTGCAGAATATGTAAATAAGGAGGTACGTCGGATGTTAACCTATGTACCGTGCATCATAGAAAAAGAAGTTTCCAATTAGCGCAATTACTCAGGACTCAGGAATGCTTGGGTGATTACGAACCCACGTTTCAATGAAATCCTATTTGGAGAGCATTATGCATTCTTTAGTATTATTAGAAACTACAAAGTTAGACTTTTTCACCAAACACACATTTTTCATGTCCATATGTTATATTCATAGAAAAAAACACGGCATACATTTAGACGCAGTGCGAAAATGACATAAATAGGTGCAACTAAAATCCATTACCCTACACCGGGGTAAGTTTAAATGCGTGGGGAAGTTAAACGGTAGATGTATCTCTTTTAACGGAAATGAATAATGACTGAGATTATTTTTTATATAGTGGTTTGGGGTAGTCCACAGTGCCTCACCAAAATAATTACAGTGAATATTCACTTCCGCTAAGAGATGCACGTACCGTTTAAACTTACCTCGTTGTACCTTAACTATGATGCTTACTATCAAAAAATTGAACAGGTGCAGAACCTGTATACAAACTTTTGCTCTGACTTTGAAATTCAATAACTGAATCCCACTAATTTCCAATTAATGTTGTACTAAGCACCTACTTTATTGGAAGCCAAACGTTTGATTTGAGAAAAGTCACAGTATTCTATTTTGCATCATTTTACTGAATTACATAATGATGATGCATGATAACTTTATGTCAGGGTTGTCCTCCAAATTGGAGAACAAAGAGGTGCTATGATCGTTATACCGCTTCCTCCCCTAGTTCGCTGACATATGAACCAACATTTTGTTCAATATTAACGTATTACCGTTGTACCGTCTTCTGATAGGGAAAACAACTGCCTGTTGCGTTATCATAAAAAAGCAACCTTCACTCTCTTCTCTGTTTCAGAGACCTAATTTAATACTAAAGATGAAGCTACTGAAATAACGTATTTTTTGGGTATTGTTTTATCCCACAACATGCATGGCGTTTTTGTGTACTATACTGAGGTGCAAATCAACAAAAAATGTGAGAAGAAATAGTGTCAGTTCCTTGTCGAATTTAGTGCACATTGATCACAACAAAATAGCTTAACATTGATCAACCCAATGCAGTTATGTAGGGAAAATTCTGTCAGTTCTTAACCATTACCTACAATTTAAATATCTCATGCGTAATTGTCGCGAGTTTAGAACCATAACCAAAAAATTCAAATACCTGAAAAATTTATGATAAAGTATGATAATCAAAAATGCATGACATACAGCAATTTTGCGTAGTCCTGCAAGTCCTGGACAAATCTCAGTTTAACATTTAAAAAAGACAGTCTATGTCTGAGATCTGGAAGATCTACCAAGGAACCGGAATTTTTACAAATCCCAGAATTTTTAGGCTGCCTGTGGGTGATATTGTGCTGCCTGCTTTCTCACCCCAGTGGCGACAAATATCTGGTTGCGTCTTCTTTCGTGCATCAAGGTTTTGTTGTTACACCGTGAATTCCGGATTAATTTTTATAACAATATCTTTCAATGCTCTGTCAGTTGTCACTAGTGCAAGTAACATTTTAACCGTGGATCATTCTATTTGATACTATTATGAGCTTCCAGGTAAAACAATGATAGGAGAAATGAACTTGTTAAACGTGTACATTTTACAATAATTTAAAATTTAAAAATGAATAAAACCCATCTGCTGATAAAATATAGCTGGAAATTGAATTATGACCAGCCTCGCCACACTGCCCACCGCACAGTGGTTTCTGGCTGGCCAAAACCTCAAAAATTAAAGTTGATATTTTTTTCAATATTTTTCTATCATTTTTACATGTTAAGAGTATCTTAAATTGAATGATGTGTGCAGTTTTGTTGACTACATATTTTTTATAGTTGTTATAGTGTAGCAATATCACAAATTTTTGTAAAAAATCGTAATGTTTCTTGTTACTGTTTTGCTCAAATATAGCAAAAAATAATGAGTTTATCAACTTGGTTATTTCAGAAGAAATGTTCCTCGGCTTATTTCACGTCAAATGGATGGTAAAAAAGAGTATCTGCGCTGTTTTAAGTGACGGTTTCTAATAAAAATTAGCCAAAATATACTTATTTTTCACATTTAGACTAAGCAAAACATATGACGGACACGTCCCACTATCCTTTAGTAACCAAAAGATAGCTAGAGAAGTTAGCTTTTAGATAGGTTTTAATGTGTTTTGCGATTTTTTGCGAAAGATGTTGAAATTAGGAATAACAAGTAAAGTGTACTTTGGAAAATATCTGTTTCTAAGTTATATAATCTGCGGTGTATACTGTAGTAAGCTTAACAATGCTTTTTTCAAAGCACACCAACACGCACATACGCACCATATATCTATCTCTTATGGTTAATGAGTTATGATTTTTTTTTAAACAAGCAGGATAGGGTGGCCCCTAGACAATAGGCATTCTTTAAATATCTTTTTATACGTTCATTTCTCGTGAAATTTTTATACTAGACACTTTAAGAACTTTTTATGACGCGTATTTTTGCTAAGTTGTTATCTCTTTTATTTGAAAAATTATGGCTAGTTTTTGCTGATTTTTTTTTTCCTATTTTTTAATTAAATTAAATACTTTAAACAGAAAAAAGCTCTTGCAGATTTTTACCAAAAATTAAGAAAATACGATGTTTCCAATGAAATTATATGTTTGAAAATCGGTTTGCTCCATTTTGGGATATTACCAATTAAAAGAGCCATTTTTTCGAAGAAAATAGCCTTCAACTTTCTAATCAAAAAATAAAGCTGCTTGAGCAAAAATATGCGTCATTAAAAGTTCTATATGTAATCAGAACAATGTTTTCACGAGAAATTAACGTATGAACAGATATGCAAAGAAAACCGATTTTAGTGGCCACCCTAACCTGTTTGTTTAAAAAAATCATAACTCATGAACCATAAGAGATAAAAACGTTGTGTTTTGAACAAAGTTGTTTTGAATTGAATGTTCTACAACTGTTTAGAACACTGCTTTGGTCTATCTCAAATAATACAAAAGTTTGTATGTTTAATTCGCCAATTTTATAGACCACCCTAATTTTACGAACATAAAAAGATTGAAAAAAAAATATGAAGCAACTTTCCCTAAGAAACCATATACCTAAAACTGACGGTTTGGGTGCAAACATTTTTGTCTTCCTAAATACGGCTTTGCGACATTGTGCATAGGTTTTGGTTCCACTATACTCCCTTTTGTAACGTCTTGATTGTAAAGTTTTCTTCGTACAATTAAAAAACATCTATTTCAACTGTTTTTTGCTTTTTTGCAACAATTTTGGCCAACTTTTGTTCTAAGGGGAACCACTGTGCACCGGTTGTTGCGTGGAATGCGAGTCTGGGTTCTATCCCAGCCAAGGTCGTTAGACGAAAAATCTTTGGTCACGTCTTCAATATGTAGAGTAGAACAGTCCATAATGCATTGCTTTTCTATTGCTAATTCTGCGATTTTATGTACCAGAATGCTAGGTAAAGTACTGAACTTGTAATACTGAGAATCCAAAAATTATGAACAACAGCGCGAGGCCATTTTACCCTAGGGGTGCATTTTAGCCCACCCTACAATTCAGGTGTAATAGAAACTTTTTTAGATTTCGTGCGAAAACCACAAAATAGCAAAATAATTGTTTCCCTGTACCACATGAGCCCTCCGGAGTGAATAGGTCCGTTTCCATGTGTAATCAAAATATATTGAATATCCAAAATTATTTTTTTCAAACGTAGATTCGTTAAATCCCCACTCGATTTGATGCTGAAAATTGTTAAGACTAGATATATTTTTGCATAAACGCCTACCTTTGAACTTGTCGATGACAGCATAGTGGACCTGCAGCACGATGTACTTAATCGGAGAATCTTTGCCCACCTTGAAACCCACGCCGTCCTGCAGTTCAAGCTTTGGCGCGTCACGAGCCCACGCATAAATAATTTGCGAAGACGACCCGGCGCCACACGGACTACCCGTTTCCTCCTTCATGTCGTCGCTTTTAGCCATCTCGCCACAGTTCCTGTCGAAAAAAAAAAATGCGATTTACACAACTTTTCATCTGAAGCATTTACGCTCCGACAAGCATTGATGGCCTATTGCCGTCATACTTACCACACGGCCGCTTCCGATCCCGGCGCCCCGCAACCATACAGCAGCATGTGATGTGCCGTTTCCATCGTGGCATTAGGTTCGAAACCGACTGAATTAGGGGAAAGGCGACAGAATTCAATTATTCAGGTTCGATTTCGAAAATTTAAATGCACTTAACAGAAGAAGATGGGCACTTACCTATGTAGTAGCTTTTGGTGTAGTCTACCTTGACTGGTGTACAGAGGTACAGCTCGGGCTGAAAAGAGGGAACCGAAGAAAAATAAAATGAACCTATGAGTGATTAAGTTTTTTTTTTCTAAAGACTAAAAATAGCACACATTTACCCCTATGTGAAAACGAATCGGAGCCTGCAAAGTTTTCATACGACAATGGTCAGTTTAAGTCCAATTGTTAACATAATCTTATATTAGAGCGGTTCCACGAACAAGTGGGAAATTTTTCCAGTTTTTATTTTTTGTATTTTTTGATTTGCATGAAACCTTGCATACAAGTTTTTGGGGAAGAAAAACGCCGTTTTGCATACTTGGTTCGCCATTTTGAATCTAGCCTTACTTATGAGAAGGGCCCATGAAAAATGCACATGATATCTTCAAAAAATGTATCTCGGAAACGGTTTGTCCGATTGGTTTGGTGTCTTGGGCGAAGTTTTAGACAATTGTTGGTGTTATATGGAAAAAATATGCACGGTAAAAAAAAAGTTTGGTATTTGTGTTTTGAACTAAAATATAAATTTTCCCTTTAAAGTGACATGCTAATAATTTTTTTATTATCTTTATGTTATAGCTGACTAAAAATGCTATCTAGTGCACAGTAGGTTGTTCTGGAGAAAAATAGGTTACAATGAAAAAAATTGTTTTTTAAAAAAATACAATTTTCAAAAAAGCTATTAAGAAAAGTCAAAAAAGTTTGTCACCCTAATTTTATGAAAGTACATCAAATTTGCAAACAAAAAGTACTTCGGTAACATTTTTCTAAGATGCACCGTTTAGAAGATATTACTGATTTAATATTGTTTTTTTTGATAACTTAATTAGTTTTGGCCCTTTTCGGATGTACTCCGTGTTTTTCCAGTTTCAAAAGTATTTTTTCAGAAAGATTGGAAAATTTTGAGTTAAAATGACACTGACAGCTTAAAGATTCGAGTGAAATTCTCTGCCTTAAAAGTATTTTGAAAAACAAGTTACAAAATCCCACTATCAGGAACAATGATTTCTTCAAATGATTTTTGGTGCGTTGTGCTGAAAACGTGCTAACAAGTATTAGATACAGGTAATCAGATACCAGTTAGCTGTACTACGTACAGTTGGTGATTGTAAACATGGTCTTTGTTGGAACTAGTCCACCATGGCCACGCTGGCCATAACGAGGCTAGCTCCGTCGTTGACCGTTCCTTAATAATAAATAAAAAGAACGCAGTAGTCACCTTCCATCAAACTAGAGGGCTGCCGACTGATACCTCAATCAACAACCGCCGCACTCTTTATTCATTCCAGGTATATACAATTTACAATCTTCTTCAATAACAATATACCTACGCCAGCAAATCTACCTCGCTCCAACTCTCCAAACTCGTACCTGAAGGTTCGACGATACCTGAGCGTTCAACTCTACCTATCTTCCAACAGTCTTTACCCAGCATTCTATGATTTCTATCCGTGAGCTGTATATAATAATGTCTGACTCGGTTCTGAATTCATCCAGTATCTACTAGGGAAAACCAAACAGTAAATGCAGAAAGGTTGCTAGTAGCATAGTGCTCAGCTCATAATCCTGCGTTTTTGAACGAGATCCAGTGTTGTTTGATAACATAATAATTGTAAAGGAAAGTGTAACACGTTTTGGTGCAAAGGTAAGTTTTAAATACACATTTTAATTATATGTTTTGTGATATTTTCGTACAAAACTAACAATTGGAAAATATTTTCTATGTTACAGATTACAAAATGAGTAAAATAAGATGTATTCGCCCATTCAAAGGCATTCAGTGTTCGAAAGAGCTGCGATATCTCACGGATGGTATCATCCAAAAACTAAAATCAATTGGATTTTCCAAGGTATCCACACTGAACACCAAGGATTTTCGTGTTTGTTCGTCTTGCCGTCTACATATTGATTCAAGAGCTCACCTCACCCAAAACGAGGAACAAAGCGTAGCCGGCGGCTCAAGGATGCCAACTGTTGAAAGTTTGGTCACGATACCATCAGAGTCAACGCTAAGCACAATTAAATCAAATGAAGACTTCACGATGCCTGTAGACGTCGAAATATTCAACCGAGGAATAGCAGCTGTTCGTGTTTCGCCTATAGATTTAGGTAAGGTAAAAAAAGGAAATCTTTTTAAATTAGACGCTAAAACAGAAAAAGCAAACGAGTTTGATGAAGTCATAGAAAATATGAAAATTAAATTTTTAAATTCAGCCACAAGGCAAGAAAAACTATCAATTTTATCATTGTTGCCAAAATCATGGTCAGTACAAAAAATTGTAGACGAATTTAAAACCAGTAGAAATATGGCATCAGATGCAAGAAAGGAAAGAGATAATGTATTTGATTCATCTCAAGGTTCAAGCTCTGGAAAAGCTTTGAGTAATGAAACAAAAGAATTTTATAAAAAAACAGGAATAAAATAAACTGATGATATCCAAAATATAATGTTATTTTTTATTGCGCACCATCCCTGAAAAATAAGCTTAATTCGCTCTTTTGAATCTTGCTAATTGAGGAGCTTACATTTGCAGTTCTCAAAAAGGTGTATCTTGAAATCGAGTTGTCTCATCGGTTTGATGTCTGTGGCGATGTTCGGCAATAGAGAGAAAATATGCACAGTATAAACACATCCAGTTTAAATGGATTAAACTGTTAGGCGATATGCAAGAGTTGAATGCACATTTTCAGCACAACGCACCAAAAATCACTTGAAGAAATCATTGTTCCTGATAGTGGGATTTTGTAACTTGTTTTTCAAAATACTTTTAAGGCAGAGAATTTCACTCGAATCTTTAAGCTGTCAGTGTCATTTTAACTCAAAATTTTCCAATCTTTCCGAAAAAATACTTTTGAAACTGGAAAAACACGGAGTACATCCGAAAAGGGCCAAAACTTATTAAGTTATCAAAAAAAACAATATTAAATCAGTAATATCTTCTAAACGGTGCATCTTAGAAAAATGTTACCGAAGTACTTTTTGTTTGCAAATTTGATGTACTTTCATAAAATTAGGGTGACAAACTTTTTTGACTTTTCTTAATAGCTTTTTCGAAAATTGTATTTTTTTAAAAAACAATTTTTTTCATTGTAACCTATTTTTCTCCAGAACAACCTACTGTGCACTAGATAGCATTTTCAGTCAGCTATAACATAAGAATAATAAAAAAAATATTGACATGTCACTTTAAAGGAAAAATTTATATTTTAGTTCAAAACACAAATACCAAACTTTTTTTTTGCCGTGCATATTTTTTCCATATAACACCAACAATTGTCTAAAACTTCGCCCAAGACACCAAACCAATCGGACAAACCGTTTCCGAGATACAATTTTTTGAAGATATCATATGCATTTTTCATAGGCCCTTCTCATAAGTAAGGCTAGATTCAAAATGGCGAACCAAGTATGCAAAACGGCGTTTTTCTTCCCCAAAAACTTGTATGCAAGGTTTCATGCAAATCAAAAAAGATGAAAATTACTCGTTGCTTTAATGATATGGAACCGCTCATTAGCAATATTTACAGTCGAATTTCATCTGTAGGTCAATTAATTGTTGAAATTTAATTAAAATCGTAATTGTTGGAAGCTTACTGGGCCCAGATAAAGGTCATATATTGGGGCTTCAGATAGCCTAGTCAGTAACGGCACGGTATTACCAAATCGTCAAAAGTAAATTTACTCACAAGTGAGTTGAATTTTCCGGGCTTTCCAGAAAAAAAAGAACTTCTCACATATGAGGAAAATCGATAGAGGTTTCACTCAGTCTATTAGTATACTCCTAGATTGAGTTCAATTTTCATGTCTCAATTAAATCTGTAGAAATGCACCATTACAGGGCAGATAGCGACCAATGCAGTCAAAAATAGTGATATTGCAAAATTTGAAATTTTCGCTCCACAATACTTAAACGATTCCAAATCGGGTCCTGACTAACCTCTCAAAATTTGAACCCATTTGGTGAGAAACTGAGATGGCACAAAGCATTTGAAGTTTGTATGGGAATTACTATGGTAAAAGCCAGATTTTTGTTCATGTCTATCTAATAATTCACCATATCGGTCTGCTTCAAAAGCTTTCAACTTTACTTGTAGGAAATTTTCAGAGCTACAACTTTGCTCAATACCGCTTTTTGATTAAATGCAAGGATCGAAAGTTATCAATGGTTCAATGCGCTGATGTCTTATGATCATGCTCAATCAACTGCTCAGCAACATTGGTGCTTCTGGGGCGTTGAATAGGACACAAAAACCATGGCTACTATGTCACACTGCAAAATACAGTGTTCCCTACAGAGCAGCTGCTTGATCATGTCATAAGTTTACCAATCTCTTAAATAACTTTTTCCTGTCTCGTTTTGCATAGAAACGATCTTCAGCAAAGTTGTAGCTGAATAAATTTTCTATAAGAATGGCTATCGAACTGTTTCGCAACTCAATATGGAAAAAGACTAGAAGGCAATGAACAAAAAGTTGAGATTTCCCATAGTAATTTACATGCAAACTTCAAATGGCTTGTGCGAAGTCTGTTTCTAACCAAATGAGTTATAACTTTGGGAGGCTAATCAGGACCCAATTTGAAACCATTTAAGCACTGTGGAGTGAAAAAGTCAAATTTTGCATCAGTCTAGTGACCATGTTGAAGAAATAAGTGACCAAATAGTGACATACAGTTCTAAAAAAGTGACTAAAAATGAACTAAGGGAAGAAAATTAGTCATTCTGATGGCATACCAAATAAATGATGTTTTAGACTTATTAAATAAGATTATCATGTAAATATGTACGATAGGAACCTTTAAAGCGAAAGATTCAATAGAAAGTTTATGACTAAACCCCAAGCTTCTACAACCTGAAAAAAAACATGAAAACCCGGGAATTCGCAGGGAAATTTATTTTTCCTGAAAATACCTGGAAGTATCAGGGAATCTTATCATTTCTCAGGAAATTTAATAATTTTCATACTAAGAATGCATTTTAAAATAAAAACATTTCAAACTCCTAGTTATTTTCATTCGCAAATTGAACTTTA